TGGTCAAGGGCACATACCTCGGTTGCGGGTTCGTTCTCAGGTGAGAATTTTAAAAAAAGAGTGGATGGGATCTAAAGCTACTCACACACAATGGAGGACAGGCCCGACCCACGAGAACTGGCCCTTACCCTTCCGGAGAAACGGGCAGGGTGGGGCTGGCCACCACCTTCTCCTCGGGCTCCTCGGGCTCCTCGGGCTCCTCGGCCTGGGGGCACGGCGCCTCGCCACTCTTGCAGGAGGCAGGTGGACTTGGGGTTTCATCCCTTGATAGCAATAAAGAAGCAAATGTGTTAAAGGCAGGAGGCTCCAGTGGCACCCCATTCAGGGTCAGAGAGCTGTGATGGGGACAGGGAGGCAGCCCCAGCCGGTTCCCTTCCTCAGGTCTTAACTCTCCCTGCCCTCCCTGCCTCTTCCCGAGCTGTTTACAATGAAAAGCAGATGCGCCCTCCCACGTGGGAGGCAGAATGCTTACTGGACCCAAGAAGTCCTGCCTGCAGCAGCTGCCCCGTAGATGCTGGCAACCGAGCACGGATGCTGCTCAACTTCCCAGGGACCCACTGCGCCGGGTGAGCCCGGAGGCCAGCGTCTCCCCTTGCAGACAGCACCAGCGCCGGGGTCTGGACCTCCTTCACCTGGCACACTACGGGGCCCCACAGGGGTGCTGACCCACCAGAGGTGGGATGGCCACTGGCTGGGAGGGGCTGGTGGGCGGAGACTAGGAGAAAGGGCCCCTGGGCAGGCCCAGCACAGCCCCTAACAGGTAACAGCAGTCTCTGCCCAGCCCAGCTGGGGAGGCAGCTGGGCCAGAAGAGACCTGCCTCGTTCAGGAGTTCTGAAGCTCCCCTAATCAGACGAGGCACCCCAATTTCAGCTGCAGACTGACTACTCAGAAGAGGCCAATCTCCTCACCATCCAGCTCCAGGAGGGCCACTCGCTCGCTCCCCGAGCTCTCCAGGCCCCCAGCCCCCACACACAACTCCACCCAGGTCGGCCGCACCCTCCCGGGAGGCACAGGCTCACTCTTACCTGTGCAGGGACTGGGGCGAGAGGGGGCTGCGTGCAGAGTGCTCCGGGGGCTCCTGTGTCCCCCGCCGCTCAGACGGCCCAGCAGGAGCCTGCAGAGGCCCTTTCATGGTGGCCTGGCTATGCCGGGGACTCCCAAGCCGCTCCCCGTACAGAAGTGAATGGGACACCCTGGTCAGACCAGCCAGAGAGGAGAGTCAGGAGGAGACTGGGGTGCAGTGGGGACCTACGTCCACTCCTCCTTCCAGCTGGACCCCAGCCGGGGCCCCAGGTTCACGGAGTGGTGAGGGCGGAGGGCAGAGCAGTGTGAGAGCAGGGAGACACCCTGCTGAAGGCTCCCGTCCTGGACTGGACCCAGGACCCTGCGCTGGCCCTGGAGCAGAGCGGCACGCACGCTTGTGGCGCAGAAGCCGCATCGCTGGGCCAGGAGGGATGGAAGGACCCAGCAGGAAATGGGAAGGAAAGGGGAAGCCAGATTCAAATGGTCGACTATCGGAAATGCTGAAGCTATAGCTTCAAGGAAGAATTCTGATCGTTTTTCAAGGTCCAAAAGGTAGAATGACTGCCCTCCCCCTTCCAGGTGACAGCCTTTGCCTTATCAGGGCTCAAGCCTGGGAAGCTGGATGCCCCCCACACACACACAC